GAATGCATGAGATGGATTGAACCCAAGTGCACAAATATATGCAATTTAGTGCATGAAGGGATTTAGAGCCCCTTAATTCCTTGCATATGTGTGCTGATCTAGAAATCTATACCTAGTGTTGGGGATTAGGCTATTGAAGAACATCTTTTGCATGTGTATCATGCAGATGACCTGGATCATGGACATGTTCACTTTGAGGGGTCCCATACGGTATGGACTCTACCCGAAAAATGTCAAGGAGGTTATTAAGGCTCGCTATCCTATGTACTGAACCTTCATAACCTCCTTGCCATTCTTTCAGTGGAGCCCATACAAGACAGGTTCCTAAGCACTCCCTCCCATACATTGCTGCTGAAAGCTGCCTTCCCACAGGTCACAACTGGGCCAGCAAAGGGGAAAAGGAGGACATGACAGGAGGTGGTGATGCCAGGAGGCTGGAGCCATGTAGTTGTGCCAGTTCTAACCAGTGCCCCTTGCCAGACCTGATTCAGATGGTTGAAAATGTCTATCTAGATAAAATGCAGGGCACAAGGCATGGCGGAAGCAAGGAGGTTGCGGCCATGTCTCATGCTTTGTACTAGAATTTGGAAGTTCACAGGCATCTGCCGCAAGGCTTATAGGAGAGGGCTTCTTCTGCACTTCAAAAACCAAATTTGGGAATCACCTCATGAAATTGATATGTAGCATATTCAGGATAGACAAATATATTTTTTCACACAACACATACTTAATTTAAGAATTTGACATTGTGTTCATTTATTAAATAATTTAAGGCATTTCTGAGTCACTATTCACCTGTCAATTTAGAAACGTTAGAAACTATAGTCTGGCCATGGCAAAATGGAACCTTTGTGTTCAGTGGCAATATCCCAGCCATCAGGGGACAATGGTTGGAGAAGGCTATTACCTCCAGGCCCTGCTTGTGGGTTTCCTGGGTACATCTGGTGAGGCCTTGTGGGAAATAGAATGTGGGGCTAGATGAAGCTTTTGTGTTACCCTCCTATATGAGTAACTTTGTGAACCATGCATTTCTCTTAATATAGCACACCCCACTTTCATGCAAGAGGGCCTTTCATTTTGTTCTGCCCTACTGCAAGAAATAGAGCAATACAAGGCAAGAGGATGAAATCCCATAATTTACCATAAAACCTCAGAAAAGACGCCTAGCAATTTCTGTAATCATACATATGCAGCCTTCAAAATGTACTTCTTTTTGAAGAAGAGCTTGAAAGCTTGTAATAGATGTTACACTCAAATGCATCCCCTCATCTATTTTGACTCTCTTTCCCTGGCTGCGCCTATATCAAACAATGCCAATGTCCCCCTAGCTTTGTTCCCTAGCCTCCCATACTCTTAAAAGAAGGTCAGAGGGCTACTTGCTAGCCTACTGCTGCACAAATTGCCAGATTTGATGCAGACTGTGCATCTTCTGAATTTGTTTGGCAAAAGCTTCAAAAGACAAATAAAGCTTCTGTAAGATCAATGAGTCATTGAACTATCCACCAGGCACTATTCTGCTTTAAGAATGAAATTATTTTTCTTCACTCTTCTCTTGTTGCTAACTGTGTTACTGTTTCATGGTCTCTTATTGACTGAGCCAAAAAAAGCCTTGTATTTCAATTATATTTACGCAGAACATCCTGGTAATGGTTACTGCAGGCAGGAACTTGGATGACAAAAGAATAGCCATAGATACCTTTGAGTTGCCCTGGAAATGAACAAATGGCCACATCAATTGCTTCATTCCGAATGGTTGCTTTCAGGCACTGATGCCCATATTTATCTGGCCAGGGCGACTTCTTTTATATTTTTTATTTATTTTTTATTTTTTATTCATTTTATATTGTTAATTTTAATTTTATATTGTTATTTTTGTATTTTATTGTGTTGTAAGCTGCCCCGAGGCTTTGGCAAGGGGCGGCATAGAAATGTTCTAATAAATAAATAAAAATAAAATATAGAAACATGGAACATCATAGCAGATTGTGATGGCTTCTAGCCTATGAAGAATGGAACTGACGGAAGGGTTGCAGCAATACAAAAGCCTAAGAATATGTTTATGTTGTCAGGCTTTGAAACTCCAGAGATTGTAGACATCTGTAAGGCAATTAAAATATGATTATTCCTGGATATTCAGGTGGGCAGCAGCAAGATGGACTTGGATCCCTTGCTGAAAGTGAAAAATGAAGTTTTAGTGTTGGCTAGAGATGTTTCTTGTTTGTTCATTTATTTACTATATTACATACTGGAATATTTACACCATATTCCAATATGGAGATATGAGAAAACTATCTTATGAGATAGATGCTGTATGTGAAAGCTGCTCATACAACTCTTTCCAGCATTTGGTTTAACTGATTAACATAGCTTCTGCTCTAGAAATAGATGGGTGATTAAGTTATTCTGAAGGAGGATGTGTTTTGGCATCCTAGTAAAGTATGGTTTATTATAATGGGAATGAGCCTGGCTTTTCCCTCAGTTCATGTTCTTCCCCATGAAGAGCTCAGAAGCTTTCATTTACATTTTGATTACCCACAGTTTAATGTTACATCTCAACCCAGCAAACTGCGATTAATCTTAACTGTGTTTTGTTTGAAAGAAATCATCTTCACACATCTGCCTATGGAATGCGCTCCCCAGAGAGGTTCTCCTGGCACTGACATTATATGCTTTTTGGTGCCAGGTCAAGACCTTTTTATTTACCTGGTATTTTAAAGTTTAAATATTTTAATCATGTTTTTATCCTCAGACATGTGTTATTGTGATGTATTTATTAGGTGTTTTAGATTATAAGCTGTCCAGAGATGAACTGTAATGGACGGGTTAGAAATACCCTAATATCTAAAAATAAATAAAATAAAGCATCAGGAGAGGCAGAGAGCATCTGGAAAGTACCTAGGTAGGAATCCCACCTGTAGACTCAGTTGTGATGGAGAAGTAAGGCATGTGCTCCCAGGCAAATGTTGACTAGGACTGGGGACTCAGGCTCAAATCCCTGCTCAACCATGAAAGTCTATTGAATGATTTTGGGCCCCTCGCTTTCCATCACCCTAATCTACCTCACAAAGTTGCTGCACGGATAAAATGCGCAAGGGAAGAACCATGTCGTGCGTTTCAAACTGGTTGAAGGGTAGGATATACATTTAATAATTAAATTAGAAATCATAATTCTGACATAAAAACAAGAGAAACAGGATCTGCAACAAAAAGTTGTAGTATGGAGTGCTCTTGTTGAGGTTACCTCATTCCATCAGCATTCTGTGATCACTCAAGAGCATTTGTACATTTGCTGTCCTTGAAGCTCTTCCAAGTCTAGTGATGCTTCTCACTTGCACAAGGATATTGCCATTTTGTGACTTAAGTATTGACATTTGGAGAATTGAGATTGTTGTGTGAGTATATATGGTTTTCTATTTGTCCTTGGGCACGTTCTTAATTCTTAACTTCAGTTCTCCTTCCATAAATCATTCTCCCACAAGAGGTTATTGGATAGAATTTTGCACTACAGCCTGGTCCCGCTTTTCTTTAAACCCCAGTTTCCTTTGAGAAAAAGGACCAAGAGTAACCTACAAAGAAAAGTCGTGTGTGAGGTACTTAGTTTCTGAAAATGCACCCCCTTCTTCTTTGAAAGCCATGCATGTAGTTCTTGATTTGTAGATTTCTTTACAACAATTACTGCTGTTGTAGGCTAGAAATGATTACTGTTGTACAGAGACATTGCCCCAAGGAACGTATGTTCTCAGCTAAGCTGGTTTATCTGAACATTGTCCTTTATGCAATAAAGTTATATAATGTGGTATAACAAGGCATGTATAATCAAAAGGTTCCTTACACAACTATAAAGCAGGAATGGAGAACATGTGAACCTCCAGATGTTCCTGGATTCTATCATCCATATTTACTTTTCTAGAAAGACCTGGTGGGACCTGGGAGTCCAACAATATCAAGAGGGTGACACTTTCTCTGTCCTTGCCAAACAACTGCACAGTAAAGGGCAAAGTTTTCCAGATTCAAAGCTGGTTGAGTAATAAATAGTGCAGTGCAATGCTGTGAATAGGTGCAGAAGCTTGACATTTAACCTCAACATCTTTTGAGCATTGTATACACAGATTCATGACTTATTTGCACAGGATTTCTGGACTACTGACAAGGGTTTATAGGGATCATATCTTAAAAGGCAGCCTGGGTGACAGTTTAAATGTACATCAAAACAATTTTCCTTTATTTCCTTAGTTAAAATCTGTTGCCATTTTTCAAAAGCCACAATGAATGCCTTTTGCCAGTTCCTGCATTTTCTCCTTATCTGAAGGTGGACTAGCAGTCAATGTCACTGAAATTAAGGTCATATTGCAACATCCTGCTATGACAACCTATGACAGGAAAGTCTTATCTTTTTGACTACTGAGCAACTATTATCTAGCTGCTATTTTTCATCAGCCCTCCTTTCTCTTTGCATCAATAGTGAAAGGAAGTGTTTCATTTTTAAAGTGAGAAGTGCAAGACCTCAAGCATGCTGGAAAGCTCTTCCATCATCCCCAGTTCTAGGATTTTGGGGACCAGCTGTGGCGATTAGAGAACAGCACTTAACCTCTTCATATGGGCCTTGGCACTCTGAACAGGTTACAGATTTCAGCCACTATATTCTGGCACTAAATATTATAGGATGCCCCCAGTATTAGGCTTAAGTACACTTCAGGCTTTCCTCTGTTTTATATTAGGGCTCTTGGGAGCCAAACAGAGCCAGATACAAAGTAGTGGCTCAGGAGGACCTCTGGTCCCCAGCCCCCTGGAATTAAAGAACAAGATGCCTAGGAATTCATTTTCAATATGGAAACTAAGCTCATGATGTTAACATAGTGCAGCAAAACAGGAATGTCATATATAACAGATATAAAGCACTGGGTCAAAAATGGGATTGACAAAGTAAGAACAACTTATCCGGCAGATCAATACTTATAGGACTGAAGGTTATACAAATGGGGCAGAAGAGAGTCTAAACATTATTTTAAAAGTTTTATTTTAAAAATTTACAGTATATCACAGGTATATCAGAGCTAGAAGGCACACTGTAGCAGAAATATTTCAGTCTATTAGAATTGAAATCCATTTTTATATAATCTGTACAGACAAGCTTTTGAGACTACATGCTGAGCTCAAACAGCACTGAAAGACTAATTTTTTGAAAAAGAAAATTAAAACAAGTTTTTGAACGCAGGCTCATCTTTGTTCCAGTCCAATCACTCAACTTTTATAGAAATCCTATTTCCCTTTAATTTGATAAGGGCTGAGAGACCTGGCACCTTCAGTTGTCTTTTAGAAGCAATGCATTGATGGCCCGCATAAGCTATCAGAACATCAGCCAAACAACCTGCATTTAACAGATGCTACATTTTGTACAAGCTCAAATTATACAGGGTATACCACAGTTACCAAAACATACAGGCTAAAATAAATGTGTGATTCTACTAAGCTGATTTGGATAACACACTCATTTGTTATCCAGTGTTATCACTATGGTATCATTGGAATATTATACTGAGCATTCACACACTGTATTACACTGTATTACAACCTCACCATTTGTATCTCTGCTATATAGCAGGCAACTCAATGACAATCTTACTATTAGCATGTCAACTGCACATTCAACTTCATGATCAAGATCATAAAGATAGGCACTTCACAAAATATTAACTCTTCAGTATTTCCTATATCTGAACTCTATTTACATTGGGAACAAAAACATCTAATACTCCAGCAATGTTAACTGCTAAGCCTTTTGTTGGTACAGTGTACCAATCACATACAATAGCCTCACATGACTGGGATTACCTATTCAACCCAATATCCACTACAAAAGTGGGTATCAGCAGATGTGCCTGTAATGAAGCTGCCATACTTAAGCACAGACACGAAATCTTCACAGTGATCCTTTTAAAATGAACTAGGATTTACTCTTTGGCATATTACCTAAAAACAGACTGACCTAGATTGTCACTAGCTGGGCCCTCAAACTTCCAGTCTTTCAGGAGTGCTAATTATTTGGAATGGAATATTCTCCCAGTGATTCTTCACAAAAAGAAGCCCTTGTGCTATTCTACCCTTCACTGCTATGGAGGAAACCAAGAGTTCTTGTGTTTCCCCTATATGGATTTCTATAATTCTTCAGAATTCAGGCACACTAATTTCTATAACCTATATACCGTCAGACCCCTGTGAAACAACTCCAGTGTAATTGTAACAGTTAAACACTTTGGAAGTCACACTTTGAATGCTCAACAATGGGCAGGTGGCTCCCAGACTTACATATTAAATGCAATCCAGATGCACTTGTTCCCTGGAAGCTTCACAACTGAATGGTAGCATACTGGAATAGTTGCAATCATAGAACTAGTCTCCCTGGTTGCATATACCCTCATATCTTGCTCAGCCAATTCAAAGATGACTTGCATTTTAATGCTCTTGAAATTCCTCTTTTTATTCTTGTTCCCTCACTGTCTCTACCTGCTGGCCATATGGCTGATAAACTCTGTCTTCCCAACACATACCCCATAACTTCTTGAACATCCCTTTAAAACTCTTCTTCATTAATAGCAAAAACTTTAGCATTTAGAAACAGATACAGCTCTCTCTCTATGTGTGTGCAATTCAAGTAACATTTACCACTTGGAGTAAGGGTAGAAAGATGCATCTTTCACCACTGTACTACAGTCTCAGCGTTTCATCAAGCCAAACTACCTTACTGCAGTCAAGCTACATTATTATCACTGTCTTTCAAATAGGCACTCCTTGTGTTAGATCTATACAACTAAAGTCACAATTTTGTTAAATATCATTATTAGATGGGGAAAAACTGCACATTTTATGCTGGAGCTTAATCATGACCATTTTTAAACACATCAAGACCCAGCTCAGGAGTCTCAACATGTTAGTACTTTGGAGTGTTTATCTAAATGTCAAAAGATTATAAAAGAATATGCACATCTTCCTATGCATTTGATTCTAATTTATCAATCTTCATTATACATACTGTAATACAAGTACAGTATAGGTACAGTCTATGTGCTAGTTCCCAATTCCATATGATGAATTCTTCTCTTTCACTGAAGTCCCTAGAAAAGGAACCACCACTTCAAGTTATTTGTTGCATCAGTCCTGACTGAAACATTGGTTTGATCCCCTTTTCAAGTTTTCTGCACAAAAGGAGACTTCATGCAGCTGCACTCTTCCTTGACAAGTTTCTTGGTTCTTTACTTGGAACGCACCAGTCATCTGCTTCTATAGCTGTTTGATAATGCTTATGAGCAGACTTGTTGAAAACAGGAAGTTTTTCTACAGAGTCCTTGGAAAGGGCCTAGAAAACAAGACAAAAAGCAATAGAGATATCTATTTCTTTATAAAGCATAATATGCATATGTGCCAAGTTGTTAGCAAATACCCTGACAGGATGGATTTGATTTAAAACGTGAATCATGACTATTCTGCCATGCATAAAAAAGGGTGATACTGTTACATTTGCTAAGGTTTCAAGAAAAGTTAATCATAATTTCTACTTCCATCTTAGGGACAATATACTAATGAAAAATACAAGAATGAGGCCCTTTCACCAAGCAAGCTATTAAACTTCCTATGTATGCCAGAACAAATTATATTTCATGCTAAAGCAGACAGTATTTCTTTCATAAACTTCACATGCATTTGTATTCATGTGTGTGTGTGTGATCAAAATGTGCCTTCTGCTTTCTATAAAATATTCAAGATAGCTTACAATTCAGAAAATAAAATACAAATAATAGAAACAGTTATCTAATGAAGTGGACTAAAAGGCAGTAGAAACATAATCAAAGAGAAACTAAAGTAAGATTGCCTTTACCATTTACAACTGTAACAGTTTACTGCCTTAGGTATTGACGATGACAAGGCTTAAGTTGCTGGTAAACCAAGTAAAAACCAAATGTACCAATGATTAATTTGTAGCTCTGCAAAGTATTTGGAAAGGGAGAGAAATAATGAATAGAGCAGGACGTACCTTTAGGTAGATAAGAGCATCTGTTCCATAACCAGAAATGGAACACAGATTGAGGTCCCCATGAAAGTATTTAGCATACAGGCGAGAAATTGGTAAACCATAACCAAAACCAGCCTAGAAGGAAACAAGCCTTTTTATTAGAGTGAAGACTTCCTTCCTGAGTAAATACTGTACACAGACAAAATGAAACTTCCTATGCCCTATTATGACTGTTCAAAAGGAGAGGATGAAGTGACATTACCTTTTCTTAATTCACTCAGGCTTACTTCAGTTGTATTTTCCATTCTTCATCCCATTACAAATATCAGAATACTCTAGAATAGTGCAGTGCTACTAAGCAGCTGCTCTTCTACATAATCAATAATGTTGAACAAAAAACAGAAGAGGTGAGTGAAAAGCACAAGCCATGCTGCCAATTTCAAGTCAGTTATCAGACCACCATCAGTACTAATTTTCATTGGTTGGTAAACCTGTATAAGCTATACTCTTAAAACTAAAGGGGCAAACTCAAGAGACAAACTTTCCCTATATTAAAAAAAAAACTCCACACAGTAACCTAGATTTCAGGGAAACCACTAGGCTATAACTCTTGCTCCTGTAATTTTGCATGGAACAAGAAATATGGTGGAGTATTCAGTCCTGTTGATTAATCTATCCATAGTCTGAGCTGGAAAGACAGACAAAATTTACCTCTCAGTGAGAATCAGCATGTTCAGTATCTGTAGCCAGTTGCATGTTTCCCTATGTGGATCATCGATAATGTAATCCATACAGGGGGCTGTGCAGTTACCAGGCATTTAGTTTAATTTATATGCAAAGTGCTCTATTTGAAAGCTTATTTTGTATCAATTTTTAGGAGTCAAATACTAGACAAAGTGGATCCTCTGTGCCAATACTGAAGCAGCATGAGCAATGAGAGCTACAGTGACCTAGCTCTCCTATTAGCAATTGGTCTTATTGCTTTGTCTCTTACCAAAGGAGTATAATTTTTGCTGTTCATCACAGGCTTTGGTGCTGTAGAATACGTGTAGCTGAAGAGGCTTTCTATTTTCCTCACTGGAACACCACCTCCTCTATCGGATATCTAGTTTAAAAAAAAATCTATTAACAAGGCCTGAAAAATTAGATGTTGGAAGGATCAGTAGTAGTTGAACAAACTCATTCACAACTATTTCCATTTTAAATGATCTTGCAGTATCAGATTTGATTAAAACAGGTAATTCAGTCCAAAACAGTATTTGCTAGGAGACTATTTGTCTGTTTGAAATTGGGTGCAATCTACAAGCCATCCAGTTCACACTAATCCTATTTAAATCAATAGTATTCTCTGAAAGTGAATGAGCTATAGATGGCATCTCATGTTTACAGATTATTGGAACTGTGAATGAAAAAAGGAAGCAAGTTACCTTAATTGACAGGTCTTCCCTTCCAAGTACAACTGTCACCTCAACAGGATCGAGAGAAGGTTTGTTTTCCTGATGTTCAACTGTTGCCCTCATTGCATTCTATGAAGAATATAAAGATTTTATTCAACTTGAACAGCATTTAATATTTTAATTGAAAATCCAGTCTTCATCTCAATACAATAGGTGTTTGAGAAATATTGTCAGTAGTATGGAAACCATTAACTGTACACTTAACTGCTGCATAGATGAATTTAATATTTTACTTTGCCATCTTGATATTAGCAAGCAGAAAACCCTACTATACATAATATGAACTGAAAGGCTGATGATACCTTTATTTCATTGCCTTGTTTCTCCTCCTTGCATTCTATTTCTTGGACTACATTTAAATACTCAGAAAGAAGCAATAGAACTACTAGCCCCTTCCTATTAATTAGTATTGACACACTCATGTGTTGATGCTTACTTGAATGCAAAGGCTAAAAATGAAAGCTGTGTAAATTGTTACTACAGACCTTGAATAGTTCAAATAGCATGTGAAAGAGATGAGAAGGCACATATACTATGTAAATAGGTTTTCCAGGTTCCTTGCCTGTAGAGAACAAGCAGAAATAAAATCACTTTATTACCCAAATTCATTTTCCAGTAACTATTGTGTGTCTGACACATACAATCTTTAGTGAGATCAATGCATCCAACACTGCATTCTAAAATTTGTCACATTCTACTTTACTTTTCTGGGTTTTTTTGTGAAAGCTTGTACTATACTGTTCCTTGTAATTTTCTGGACAGGAGTCTCTGCCTCTTTATTATCAAAAACTTTCCTGAACTATCTATTTAATGGTTATGTTACACTCTTGTGGGTTTCTTACTTTAAGAAATTCTGAAAGTAGCTATTTTACAGTTACATATCAAGGTCTTCCCCTCCTGGCATACTGAATCTTGTTTACTGGAGTTACATAGGGGAATAAATGCAACTGTGCAAATTCAGTGTTATCTCCAGGGATAAAAGTGACAAACCTACAGTTCCAAGAATAGATATCAAAAGGGAGAGTGACAGCAGTGAACAGTAAAAGCATTTGAAGTAGATGCGGAGGGTGGGAGGGAGAACTAGCCTGATAAACTGGGGATAAAAAAACTCACCATTCACTTGTGTTAGCTTTAATTCTGGAGAAGAAAAATAGTACTGGTCACAAAGCATCTGGGCACTCTGGAAAGCATCTTGAAGTCATTTTAAAGAGGAAAGAAGCAAAGCATTAAACATTTATGTAGTGTTACATGTATTCTGAATTCTATAATACTTGCATCATCTAGTATTTCAATGAAGTCATAAAAATATATCTTCTGTATCTTAGAGCAAGTCATATTATGACTGTCAGCACCAAACCCTGGGTACATACCACTGGCTGATACTAGATAAATCTTACTATTATACTTCTAGACATATCAATTCAGATACAAATCCCACTGAGTTTGATAGAACTTACTCTTAAGTAAGTGTGCACAGGAATGCAGCCTAGGCCACTTATCTACAATCCGATTACACACACCTATAAATGGGTCTTAAACATGGGGCCAGTGACACGGAATGGCAAACAAGATATACTTATTTCAGACTGACTGTAAAAGCAGTTATGATCAGTCCAACTTGAAGTTATTTAATCACCCACTGTAAACATTTTCTGATTGAACAACCTGCCAGGGCCACACCCCTAAATTAGCCCGTGATACACAGCAAACCATGCTGCTAAAATATTTTTTATTTATATATGAGGCCATAATAGGGTCTTCACTGAAAGACCATTAATACATTTCAGGAAAGCACATATTGCTGATATGGCTTTCATATAGTTTGCTACAAGGACAGAAAGCTCACAACTTTATACATACCATGCACCAGATCAACAACATCACAGCAAGGGTCAATGCATCCAATGTGCCGTGGATTTCCCACATTGTGATTGTTATCAAAAATAAGTGCTGTTTAAATTAAAAAACATGAAATGAGTGATTAAAGGACTTTTGAAATTGCTCTTCTCTTCATTCATTAGAGCTATCAAAATTAGTTTTCAGCCATAATATTTGTATGACATTTTAATCTGCCTCCCACAAGGAACACATGACAACCATTGTTATGATACAATTTTATCCTCACAACTGGCAAGGTATGTTAAAGAAAGTGACCTGCTCAAGACTACTTGATGTGTTTTAGATAAGATCAAAATTTAACCCAGGCCTTGTTTGTTCAAACACAACACTACTTACCCTATTTTTTTTTATTTTTTACGTATGCAGGAATTTGCATTGCATAGCAAAAGTTAAAAAAACTGCAGAAGAAAAACCACTACTTCCTGCAAAATAAGTAACTTGGCTTCTCAAACTTACTGCACTTTTTCTCTGAAACTGTGTGTTGTACTAGACAGGGTTTCAACACATCAATGAATTAATTAATTTTAGAGTAGGTTTTTTCCCCTCTAATTTTTCATAGGCTGAATACTTTTGTCCCATGTTGTGGTTCTCATATTTTTTCTTAAAACATCCTTAATAAAATCCATGTTCTATCAAATACCCTTTAGTGCATTTCACAAAATCTTCAAAACCTGTCTGTCACAGGAATGAAAAGTCAACTTACTGTGTTGGTTTATTAGCATCCTGATGGATATCCGGTTCATGTAAAACCGATCCAAGAAATACTGAATGTTTTGATTGATGGATGGGTCCATTTTAGAAGAATCTCTGTATTCCAGAACCCCTTGGGCCATTGTCGGTACCACATCGTGATGTCTGTTTCGAACTTTAACAATGGCATCTATAAAACTTGGGGTGGGGAGAAGAAAGATCTTTATGCACAAAGAAAGAAAAGTGAACTGATGTAAAAACAACCTATACCTTCAAATTAGTTACAGAGGGCAGCTTAGCAGCAGATACTGCTTTTCTCAGATAAAGATATTAGTTACTTCATTATTCATGCTCAAGACAAAGAAAGCATCCTAATATTATCTTAAAAGTTTGCAATTTATTACTGATCTATTTTATTTCAATGTGACACTTTTGCAACATCAAATACCAGTTATAGTGTTATAAACTTATCTCATGGTAAGATAACCATCCTTTTATGTGTTCTAAGCTCAATAAAGCTCAGGTTATTAAGACAGATGGGTATCTCCATATCTGTCAGTAGCTACTTTGAATGGAATAAGTTCCAATAAAACATAACAGAAAAACTTACTCAGACAGAACTTTGTGGTCATCTGATTTTTTCTCACGAAACTCTACTAGCTCCATCAAGCTTTGGACATACCTGTAGAAAAGTTTTGGGTTATCAGAACAGTCTAAGAAAAAAGTTCCTTGCACAGATAGGAGTTTTTGAAATTCAGTAATTCAAAGTGACTTCAAATAATGGCTAAACTAAAAGTAAAGAGACCTCAACTAAAATAATTGCTGCCTGCCTCAAAGCCTGAGAAACCTGACATTTTTTCATTGCACTTGTTCACATGCCATTTTTGCTTTACTTTTGCCACCTGTTGTGCGAAGTTTGAGGATGTTTATGGTACTATTGGGTTTACAGCAGCATTACACATGTCAAAGGTCTAGAACAAGTAAATCCATGTACAAACATGGGGAGTTGAAGAAATGATGCTTTGATGCTTTTATCAAAATATGCATAATGTCATGACCTATCAGGATATCACCTAGCCTGGCAGAAGAGAGGCACAGGTGCCACAAGCACCTTAACCGAAGTGTTAAAACTGCCGCAGCTGCTTGTTAAACAACTTTGCAGAGCACAAATGAGCAATATGCCATTCTGTTCTTTGGCCCGTGGACTCAGATAGCCTGATCGGTATTTTACTAGCATTTTGTCATGCTTCATTTGATCACAGTCAATTCTTGTTATTTCTTTAAAATATAGAAGCATAAAGCTGATTATAATGACATGTTTCAAAAGTTTGTTACTTACCAGCTTTTTACCAGCTGTACTGATGGAGTGCCCAACAATGGACCAGGAAGGAGGTCAATTTCTTTCAGAATATTTGCTAGCCTCACAGGAAGTTCATGACGAAGAAATGAAAAAGAAGTTCTTTCACATGCATTTGTTGACCCTATAAAACAAATACCAGACCAGATTACAGTATTATGGTAACAATAATTGTTTCAACATATGTAATATCCCACTATCATACTTGCAGTAAATTAGCTCAACCACTAGTTATTAAGACTAAATGCATTTTTATAATGTAGTCAATACAAAACAATTACCCTTTCTGGTTTCTACATGTTCTTATCACATTACATATGTACTCTTAGGGAACAGAACTCTGCAGCAGGGATGGCCAGACTTGCTCAGTGGAAGAGCCACATACGGGTAGCAGCAACCTGTATGTGGTGAGTGGCAAGCAGGTGCCTGGGGGCAGTGACCGCAGGGGTCAGAGGGGTGCAAGTGGGCACTTGTGGGCACCAACAGCAGCAAGTGGCGAGCAGCAAAATATACTCATACAATTGCATGCAGCTCCTGAGCCTCAGTTTGGCCACCCCTGCTCTATAGTATAAATTTTCACAAGGCTGAAAAATCAGCTGAAAGTTCATTCTATACTCAAGATTTTTTTGGCAAGAGACAGAAAGAAAAAGTCAAGGGAAGCAGGCTATGTTCCCCATCTGAGATATGTTAGCAGGGCTCCATAAATGTGAATATATTCACAAATATATATTGCCTACTTTGAGTTCAACAATTTTACTTAATATTTAGAATATGTAGTCTTAAACTGCCCCTGGCTTTCCTATAAGTTAAAAAACCCCACTGCACTTCTTAGAAAATAGATACTTCCAAATGAAAACCAGACATTCCTAATGCATTATATCATAGAAGTGGTGGTTCCACAAACATGCTTAGCAAACTAAATATGTATTGATCTCTCTCTCTCACACACACACACACACTCACAGAGAGAGAGAGAGAGAGAGAGAGAGAGAGAGAGAAACCTCAGCAGCATTTAATCTGCTTTTGCTGTTACAACAGACTGACATTTGATGTCTCATTCAAAGTTCAGTGGCTAAATTCAATGTCAGCAATAATGAAATCCTAGCAAAGGTTACCACTGCATATTACAAATTGCAAGGTTTAGGTAACAGCAATAATGAGTCATTTGTTCAGTTAACCAAAACCTGAGGAACAGACAAAATTCGGTCTTTATAATTTCTGATGAATAAATTTCTGAAGAGTAAGTTTTCTGGGAGGCCCAGACAATCAAAGTCAATGCATTTTTTTAAAGAATGATCATGTAGGTTCCTCAAACCTTTTGTTAAAATGGAAAGAGAATTAAGCTAAACTGTTTCCTGGAAATTTTTTGTTTTTAAAGAAACACTTAAGAATGGATTCAATTTCAATCACAGGGAAAATCAAAATACTTTAGAAACAGAAGCATTTAGACATATGCTCATTTCAGTGCACTGCTTTACACTTTATTGCAAAGAACATGTAATATTATTTCATGGAAAGCAAAGCAGACAATGTGCTTTAAAATTTTAGATTTATATTCCACTTTTTTCTTATTACATCATTCTCCTCCTCCTGCTGTCAATCCTATTCTCACAGCAATAACCCTGCAAGGTAGGTCGGGCTGACAGCCTGTGATGGGCCCAAAGTCACCCAGTTTGGTTGACCACCCAATTACAAGATTTGAAAAAAGTGTAAACTAGGACTGTTTCCTGCTTCCTGCTGAACTGTTGTCTAATATCAAAATGTTTCCCTAACAGAACTATAGGAAAAAGTTGCACCAAATTATATCTGTCCAAAATTAAATGGAGCTCTTCAAGGAATCAAAACAAAGCAACTTAACAGGAATACAAAAGAAAGTGAAAGCTACAGAAACAAAATGCAATCCTATATTGGTTATTCAGAAGAAAACTTCTTTGTGGGCAATCCTACTTGTTCCTCTTTGCATGGGACTGCAGCATAAACTTCTTGCAATCATGTGCGACCTACATCAGACTCAGGGACCTCATGACACAAGCTATAGTCTTCAGAAGCTTATGCCACAATGAATCAATCCTTTAAAAGCAACAGGAATCTCTCGCTGGCTCTAATAGACTCAGAAGGTTACACCGCTATAATCCGATCGACAAGCGAGAAATTGCAGCATCCCTCATGCATCCCCTCCTTGAGATCTCTATGTGTGAGTCCCCCCACCACTGTCCCATCCAGAACCGACTTGTTCTTTCTCTCCCAAAAGTGGGAGAAGCCCAACTCCGGATGCAGCACGCTGTTCATCCACCCCTTTCCCACCCACCCCTTGAGGAGGAACAAACCACGGCAGAATCTTGCCTATTTAATATTTATTTACATTGATTTTAAGATCTAAACCCCTCTGATACTGTCCTCCCCTCCGCCTCCCTCTCCCCCACACCCCACCACCCTCACCGAAATCCAGGAATTGCTTCATGGACAGAGGCGACGGAGAGTAACGAGAGAAATGGTCCACCTCCCAAGTTGCCCTGCGCACACCGCCGCTGCTGCTGCCGCCGCTCCCGGTAGCGGCCAAGGGAACCGCGTTCCGTACGGCGATCCGAGCGGCCTTCATCGCTCGCCCCCCGCCCGCTTGCCTTCGAGAGAACCGGAAGGTGAGCGCGAACGAGGAGCAGGTAACCCCCACTGAGCGCGCGCGCCTGGCGCCAACCCTCTGAGGAGTGCCCTGCACGTGCGGCCCCTATTTACCACCTTGAGCCCGTCCCTCAAGGGGCGGGGCCGCGCGGTAAGCCACGCCCATTCAAGACTAAACTGTCTGGCACGCCTGCAGGCTCCGCCGCTCGCCTTTCCTCCTTTCCCTCTCCGGGGGGGGGGGGATCATGTGGTGACCTTTAGCCTCACATTTAAAAGGTTCAGGTGCTTTTAAAAGGAGAGGGAAGGGTGTGTTGGAGGCGTGCGAATAGCTCATGTGTCCGGGCCGCCTTCCTCCAACCCTCTTGCCCTTGTTCACACGCTTTTGGATGTGGGATATAATGTCAGCTCCCCCCACGTCCGTGATTTTAGGGAAGCTGCTTCTGTTGCTCCGCCCTTTTCCCCTCTCTGGATCGGAGCAACTGCCAAGCAAGGGGCACGAGAGCGAGGAGAGCAGGACGAGCGGGGAGCGAATAGAGCATTGGGTCTCAATTGGCCTCTCATTGGCGGAGCTCCTTTTCCGGACGGAGCCAATGAGAAGGTTGTATCCGTACTTGGGGCTCCGCCTTCGGCGGGCTTAGGCGGCTCGAGGGAGAAACAGCGCGATGCGGGGGCGGGGGGGAGGCCCGTGCTCCGTTTTCCAGGAACAGCGGGAACACTTGAGGGGCGGGGAAGCGGGGAACGTCGCGTTCGCATTGCCAGGGTGGGGGCGCGGCTGAAGGGTGTGTGTCTCGTGGCAGCACGTTTAGGGAAAAACAACTCCACCAAAGCGAGCTATTCTCCCAAGCCGCAGTGTTCCTTGTAGAACAGCCTGAAGGCACCATCCTGTGCAAGTTGAGAGAGAGGAAAAGGCACGTTGCTCTAGCTTGGCTGCTATGGGGCATGCTGGGAGTTACAGGCCCTTTTGGGGCATGCTGGGAGTTACAGGCCCTTTTGGGGCATGCTGGGAGTTACAGGCCCTTTTTCTGGCAAACCTTACATAGCATTACCCCCTGAAATAGGTTCAAACATAAACCCAGTGGTGTGTTCAGGTCCCTTCTTCTAAAGTCTCAAGAGCCAACTTTACCAGAAAAAAGTGAGGTGGTGGTTGGTGTGTATGTGGGGAAGTTGTAACTCCATCTGATGCTCCCATCTGCACCTCTTCTGCTGATGCACTGAAGTCCTTTACTTAAGCCATGATTTATTTAAACAAAGGTGTGCTGTTACTCAAATTCCTCAAAACTGGAATTTAGAAAAATGATTTGCTTGACAGGATTGGCCCCCAGCCTGGTGCTGTTATTCTCTCTGGAAATAGGCAGGAACAGAGTGGAGGCGGCAGGCGGGCAGGAGGAGTGCTGTGGGCTTCCTGTGGAGGAGAGCAAAGTGTGCCAAGAAGGGTTGAAACCTTCCCCCTGTACAGGTAGTTCCTGGGTTATGGATATGTTCCATTCCTGAGAATGTCCTTGAGGTGAACTTGTAGAAGTAAGTTGGATCACACGAGGAAGCCAAATGTTTCTCTTAATATGTGCATCTGTTTTACCTTTATATGCATAAAACACTTCCATATTCACTAAAACATCTCAAACACAATACAACATTGTAATAATGATAATGCTATAATAATGAAGTAACTACAGGCACTGAAGAGAGAGAATCTGTGTATTTACAGGTATATCGTTCTGTAAAAAACAGACATAGTACTTAAAACAGTTTAGCGGGAGAGCAGGAGTTTCCAAAAATGACAGTAAGGTCATTATTTCATTATAAGACCATTTATATGTAACATAGTAGCGAGCAAATATTTGGAGTTTTTCAGACTTCCAGGTGAATGTTAATATAAGCAAAAGAGAAAGAGAGGGAGAGAGAGAGAGAGAGAGGGAAGGAGACTGGGCATAGAGGAAATACACAATCTTTGTTATTTTTACTCTGTTGCATTTAGTGCAACATTCTAGCAGTCTACTTCATTGCAAGACACACATTATATCAGTGAAAGAGGCTGAGCAGCCATGCAGTGCAATCTTTACACTGCAGTCCTATATTAACTGGCAGCAAAGCCTTTTGAAGGCAATTAGACTCACTAATGTCGACTCCCTGCCTCCATTACTTATGCCCCTTACTTATATTACTTATTTACATTATGACCAGGCACGCAAAGAATTGTGTTGTAAACATTGTACCCCACAGTTATTCTGAGAAAAATTTAAGAGGACAGGTGCAGATTAGGGCTTAATTTTGGAGTGCAATGATGCAGTCTGGTAATTTTAGACCTCAGACTTCATGGTGCAGTATGAGGGTACGCTAGTAAGCTTGTGTGTTATTTAAATTGTGAAGCACCCACTTAACGTTTCTGCCCCTACTGCTTTTCCATGCTTTAAAGCAGCTTCAAGATTCTCATATTTATTGGGTCATTTCCCAATTCCACAAATTAACCAGGGCATCAACAGGAGTGCCAGTCATATCAACTGGAAATTCCCCAGGAGCCCTCAGGAATCCATCAGGATACATAAGACTCCAGGGGTGGAACAATTTGATAGGGCCCACACCCTTACAGAGGAGAAAACTGGCCCCATGTGTAAGCCTCACAAGGAAGTGATCCGACCATGACAAAGGGGTTAATGTTAGATCCCTCACTTCCAGACCAGCATCTTCCTGCCCCATCGAAAAGACCAAGTCAAGAGCATGGCTTCTTTCATGTGTTGGGCCAGTGACATGTTGAGACAGCCCCATGGTTGTCATGGTGGCCATGAGGTCCTGAGCTGCCCTGGTTAGAACAGCCTCAGCATGGAAGTTGAAGTCCCCCAGAACCAACACCAGGTCTGGGATGATCTCTGTCAATTCAGGCAGAAAGTCTGTTGGGCAGAAGGGTGCATCGTATACCAACAGAATCCCCAATCTGTCTCTGTCACCCAACACTAGGTACAAACACTTGAGACCATTCCTTGACAGGAAGCCCTGTGAGGGAGATTGAATCTCTGTAAATTAGGACAATGCCCCCTCCCCTTCAATGTGATGTGTTGGAATAACAAAACAAAGAGGACTTTACCTTTAAAGGTGGCCTACTATTGATTATACTTATATTGTTGTCACGTGTTGTCAAGTTGCCTCTGACTTATGGCAACCCTATGAATGAACACCCTTCAAAATGTCCTTGACAGCATTGCTCAGCTCTCACAGACTCAAGGCTGTGACTTCTGTTATGGAATTGAACCGTCTCACAGTTGGTCTTCCTCTTCTGCCTTTGACTCTCCCTAGTATAATTGTTTTCTCCTGTAAGTCTTACTATGCCCAAAGTACGGCAGCCTCAGTTTTGTCATTTTTTCTCCCAAGGGAAGTTCTGACTTGATTTGATCTAGGATTGTGTTTGTCTTTCTGTTGGTTCAAAGTATTTAGTCAACAAACTCTCCTCCAGTATCAGTATTCTTCCTGTCAGCTTTTTTCATGTCCAGTTTTCACAGCCATACACAGTGATCAGGAATAAAATAGTGTGGATTATCTTGGTCAGTTAAATGTCCTTATATTAGATGACCTTTCCTAGTCTTTTCTAGTTCCTTCATTGCTGCCCTTGCAAGACTCAGCCTTCTTCAAATTTCTTGCCTGCTGTCTTACTTTGAAATAATGACTGAGTGAAGATATACAAAATCTTTTACAAATTCAATTTCTTCATTGTTGACATCACATTTGTGTAATTCTTATGAAGTCATTTTTTTTTTTCATGATCAGCTGCAGTGTTGCTTTTGCTCTTTCATTTTCATCAGGAGTTGTTTCAATTCACTGCTGCTTTCTGCTAGTAATAGGGTATTATCTGCGTATCTTAAATTACTGGTGTGTCTTCTGTCAATTTTCACTCTATCTTCTCTGATTCTGATCCAGCTTTCTTTGAGATATGTTCTGCATACAGATTTAACAGACAGGGAGATAAAATACACCTTTATCTGATGGCTGTGCATATAGGAAACCATTCTTTTTTTTCCAAATTGTGTCCTAACAGTAGCTTAATTAACCATTCCATTTCTTGCTTTAAGGTTTCTAGTTTTATACTTCATGATTCTTATTTCTCATGTTTCAGTTGTATGTGTTGTGCAGAATTTGACTTCCCTTTCTCCTCTGTGTAAATGAGTAGCTAGGCATGCTTTTGGTTTTGATCTAGTTGGGTCTTTAGTGATAATGCTATTGATATTTGTCTTTGTTCTTCCCCACTATCTTGCTTAGTGCCTTCTGACCTAGGAGTCTCATCTTCTGGCACTATCTCTTATTTCATTTTGGATTGTTTCACTATAGGGTTTACAAGATAAGAAATATTCAGCAAAGGTTTATTATTGTGTTCTATACAATATTAATCGGAGTTAGCTTGAGTGTCATTGCTGTTATCTGTGAAAGATCCTCCACCAGTGCCACATTCAACTACCTTCAGCTGCCTAGTAGTTGCCCCTCAGGAATTTTTCTGCCCCCATCACCATTAGAGATATCTGCTGATGTCACTGTTCCTCCTGAAGCAGATAGCTGCATCTTAGTCTTGTGGCTGCACTTTGTCCATTCTGCCTTGGGTGACCCTGCCAGGAGATCAGCATAGTGAGAAAGTCTGGCCTCCTGAAGGCATAGCTCTCAGTTTCACTTATACTTCAAATCCCCTTAATTTTCTAAATTAAGGTGTGCATTCAAAAGGGGAATTATTTATATAGCGATTTATTAAAAAACTTCATTTTACATTCACATTTCATTTCTCATCTTAAACTCACTGAAATATTAGCACCATCATGACTATAGGAATAAAACGGAGTTTGCTTCTGCCATTCATATGTGATAAACACCATCTTTTATTAGAAAAGGTTAATATATAGAAAGTATGATTAATAATCTAGTAGGGGTTTTTTTTGGTTTAGTCGCAAAGTTTTGCCCGACCCATTACGACCCCATGGACAACATTTCTCCAGGCTAGCATGTGAAATAGTAGGCTTGGATTCTTAATGTCAACTGCAAATATTTATATAGACATGCACATGATACGAACATTTTTAGAGTACTTGGGGAGGGAGCTGAATTCCAAAGAATGACAACTTGAAAAATTCAAACAAAAAACAATTTGATAAGGCATCCAACATTTGACTAATGGGTGAGATCGACATCTAATAAATAAATACAACATGAGGAAAGATTCAAGTTCAGAAAATAAGGACTACTTCTGAGAAATAAGGACAGTAAATTTGATTGAACTGTGCAGCTTTCTAAGCAAATGTTCATAAGATCAACTTGCAACTAGTTGATTAAAATTTTAATAAAACTGCATGTTTATTTAAAAATATGGGTAAGAATTGCCTTAATGGCATTTTCTCACAGTACTTTGCCAGCTTTATTGCTTGCTTACTTGTTGTTTGCTATTCCACTTCTATGCCTAACATTTTCTAAATTTCCCCTTTTGAATTCTCAGGCAGCTGTGAAGCTCTGTCTCCTTGGCAGCAATGTTGACATAAACAAAATTAATAACGAACAAACAACTCTTGAGCATGCCTACTCAGAAGTAAGTCCCATTGAGTTTTGGTGGGCATAGGATTGACTGCAGGCATAAGTCAACAATAAGCTAATTTTCCTAACATTAAAAACAATTACCATCAATTATTTCTTCAATATATGATTACATTGGTAGAGAAAACCATTTGGATTAGCTGAGTTAAATTTTATTCTGTCTACCTGCTGGGCATGAGCTGTTCATTTACATTTGGGTATATGTGGTGGCAACAGAGGTGGAGTTGTTTGTAGAAATAGCCCTCCTTGTAATGATCAATTAAAACTTAAAACAGATTCAGGAAGCATATGCAGCTCTGTAGCTGTAAATCCTGTTAGGTTGAACTTACAGCTTGTTCATAGCCAATTTGGTCTTCTCATGCTATTCCAATTGGAGTTTTCATATTTAATTTTTCCAAGTCATTAAGTTGATCAGTGAACAGAAATTGATTCTGTATATGGCTTTTAACACTGAAAACTGGAGACTTGGGTTCTTAATCCAACTTTCCCCTTCTGATAAGCTTCCTTAAGTATAATGCATAGTTCAAAAAGCTTTGCCAGCTTGCTGATCTAGCAGACAATTTATCTGAATGTAAAGTTTAGTAGGGGAAAGTTCAGCGAAGATTTCCCATTTGGTCTGAGATGCACTGAGATCTTTTACAGCTCTCCTGGGCTGAAGTTTAGTAGGGGAAAGGTCACATCTAGCTACAGCGGCGTTAAACAACATCCTTCCTGCTTCTCTTGTTTGGCAGAAGTCAGAGTACAGTGCTTGGATTGCTTTCCCACTGCATTCATCTTTGCAGACAAGATGGAAAAAATCTGCCTGTTTCAAGAATAACTTCTCGGTAACAAACATTCCTGTTGTAAACAAGAGATTGCCTTCTGCATTTTTTCTCTACTTGTAGGACAGTTGTTTGTTTCTGCTGCTTGGAACACCCTTCAAATCTCTAAAAAAAATGTTCCTGCATTTAAAACATAAATATTTTTTCATCAGAAGTCTAAAAACAACTCAGAATTACTTACTTCAGCTTAATGTATTATGCTGTGCTCTAGCAGCACTCTCCTGTGCTGTGGGTGAGGTTCTTTATAGGAATGCTTGCCCAGATCCACTCAGAAATGGCTAACCAGATTGTCACGAGTACACTTCTATAATCTGTGAGCATATGGTATATCTTTATCTTCTTGATATTTCCCTCTCTTTCTCTGAGTATGTAAGGCTGCCACCAAGAATTTAATTCCACTCTAATTAATTAACCCGTCCTACTGTGCCGAGCCCGAGCTACAGGGTCCTGAGGATAAGATACTGGCATTGCAACAGTCTATGATTCAGAGTTAACAATAAAATAAAACTTTATTTGTACAATAAGAATATTGGTTTCGAGATGTTCAGTAATCCTTTCCTTAATGAATAAAGCAATGTCTAAAACTTCTGACTGAGGTATCTCTTTCCCTTCACAAACACTCCTCACACATAGATCCTCCTTTCTTTTCTGAATGTACTTTGACCAGTCATTATTCTATTTATGTAAGTTCAGTCTTTCCATTCTGCACTTCAGGTTTCCATCAGCATCTATATCTCACACCCTTATAATACTTGACAATATTAGGTTTTGACTCTCCCTAGTCACTAATATTTCCTTCATGGATCACTGCCTTGTTGTGGCAAAGGGGATTTTGTAGCTCAATACTGGGATGCAATCTCCAAAATGACAGAATGATCTCAATTTGAATCCAAGGCAAACCATTCAACATCATAGTAGTTCAAGTCTATGCCCCAACCACTGGTGCTGCAGAGACTGAAGTTGACTGGTTCTATGAAGGCCTACAAAACCTCCTAGAATTAACACCAAAAATGATGTCCTTATCATCATGGGGGATTGGAATACTAAAGTAGGAAGGCAAAAGATAACTGGAATAACAGGCAAGTTTGGCCTTGGAGTACAAATGAAGCAGGGCTCAGGCTGCTAGAATTTTGTCAAGAGAATATGATGGTCATAGCAAACACTCTTTTCCAACAACTCAAAAGATGACTCTGCACAAGAACTTCACCAGACGGTCAACACAGAAATCAGATTGACTATGTGCTCTGCAGCCAAAGATAGAGAAGCTCTATACAGTCAGTAAAAACTAGACCAGGAGCTGACTGTGGCTCAGATCATGAACTTCTTGTTGCAAAATTTAGGCTTAAATTGAAGAAAGTAGGGAAAAGCACTAGGCCAATCAGGCATGACCTAAATCATATCCCTGATGAATATACAGTAGAGGAGA